TGTCGTTGACAGACGACTCGGGTGAGAGACCAGGAGAGGGAGACGAGTGGCGGAGCTAGGGGAGCTGTGGGCGGGAGACGGCATTCTCTGTTCGTTTATGAGGAGCCCCCTGGGGGGCTGCCGAGGAGGGAATGCGACGTTGAGCGCGGGGGTACCGATGGACGGGCCCCGAAAGTGAGGAGACCCAGACGGGTAGAGCGGGGGAGTGGGAAGGGTAGCCACCTATAGGTGAGAATTTGGAGCGAGTAGGGTTTGTGACGGAGGGGCAGTTGATGTGTGAGCGAGGAGTTGGAGAGGTGGAGACTGACGGTTGGGTTGGGGTCTGGGGGGATTGGTGATATAGCTGGCCTGGACGAGTGAGGGTGTGCGGAGGGTGACGAGAGATGGAGCGGGAAGAGTTTCCAGGCGGACGCGATTGTTTGAGAGGCTTCTTGGTGTCGATATTCCGAGGAGCGAGAGAAGACCCGATTGGAGGGTGCGAGAGACCAGACCTGCACTGGGTGGTGCCGAGATGAGAGCCTGAGGGGGGTGGGGCGGTGCTGCGGTGGAGAGCCCTCCGCAGAGCAGAGAGAGTTCGGAGACGAGTCTAGGAATGGAGAGAGATGGGCCCATGAGAAGTGAGATAGAGGAACCAATTTGGTCGTTGAGAGATAAGTTCCGAGGGAGGGTCCAAACAGACGTTGAGACAGAGAGCCGATGTTTGAGAGTGCGTGGAGAGGTCATAGGGTGAGGGGTGATTGAGACGGGTTGTGCAGTCTCGGGAGGGGGACGAGAGATGAGTTTGTGTGAGGACTTTCCGGATGGAGGGGGCGCTTGGGGGGCCTTGGGGGTGGACTCGTGGAGCGACCACGGCAGAGGGTGACGAGAAGGCAGAGGATGGAGCTCGGAGAGTACGACTAGAGAGAAGCGGTTTGATGTTTGACGAGGAGGGAGGATAGGGAGTTAGGAGTGGTCGGAAGCGTAACGTCCCGAGCGACGAGAAACTGGAGATAGAGGAGAGATTAGCGATTGCGGATAGAGTGCCGGCTGAGAGATACTGAGGGAGGCGGGCTGGGTGGAGGTCGGTGCCGTGGTGAGTTGTGGTTGAGAGTGAGAGCGGGAGGTTCCGAGGGAGGTGGTTTGATCTAGGAGAGGATAGACCGGAGATCGGATCGAGAGACGGCGAGAGGCTCCCTTAAGGCGAGAGAGGGTGGTTGGGAGGGTGATGAGGGAGATCCGAGGAGATGGATGAGCCTTAGATTGCCGAATGCCTTGAAGATCCTAGTCTTTGTGAGAAGAGAAGGCTATGGGGAGCCTGGAAGGTTGGCGGGTGATGTGAGTGGATTGAGATATACCGATGGGAAGTGGATGGAGTGGAGGGCTCGGGCCCTTGGAGAGGACGGGGTGAGCGCCTCTGGGAGAGAGGACATTTGGCGGCGGGGGGAGTTGCGAAGGGAGGGTAGTCGGAGTAGAGTGATGTAGGTGAGGAGGATTGACTGCGGACGGCCGCGTGGAGGGTGGGCGTCGCGAGATTGAGAGGCGGTGGGGGTGAGATGTTGGGAAGAACGGGGTGGGACATTTTCTGAGAGATTTGTGGGAGACCTTGGATGTCCAACGGGCCGCGAGTAGGAGAGAGGAGGGAGACCACAAGGAGCCGTGTGGAGAATGACCGAGGACTGGACTGTTGTGGTGTAGAAGGAGGATGGCGATGAGAGTGATGGGGAGGTGGACCAGGAGAATGAGAGAGATCTTTGGAGGATGGCGCCTGCGTCTGCTGATGATGACCAGAGCGGCCGTTGGACGGTGGGGGAGGGGGTGAGTGACGAGGTTGGGACGAGAGAAGAGAGGGAGAGAGGATCCGCTGAGCGTGACGGAGAATGAGAGAGCTGTTGAGATGGTGGGGGATGAGGAGCGCTGATGGACGATGGTGATGCCGATCGCTACCGCGACGAGATTTAGGAGCGAGACGGGTTAGAACGGTTTAGTGGAATGTGGAGATAGAGGAGAGGAGGACAGGTGCCGATGAGGGAAAGAGGGACCCCGAGACGGAGAGGGCCGGGATTGATGATTGAGAGCGACGAAGAGTCCTAAGGTTAGATGGGCCTGGAGAAGGACCGATTGGATGACGGGAACTGGCTATGAGAGGGAGTCAGGACCACTCAGAGGCGAGACGCAGGATGAGACTGGGATGCATCCCAGAGATGAAAGGCTGAGAAACCAGACCTGGACCGAAGAAAAACCAGAGAACACTGTGAGGACCAGATGAGGAGTCGGCAACTCTTCGAGCAGAGAGCGAGAGGAGACCAAGGGGAGAGCTGGGAACTTCGAGAGTGAGGAGGAGAAGATTCGAACGAGGAGAGAAGTACTGTGAGGACGGCGAGGGGGGCTGGAGAGGGGCGATTGACGAAGAGAGACTGGATTCTTGCCGAGAGATGAGAGATGAGGTGGACCCAGGTGAGAAAAGAGACCTGAGGAGATCAGTGGGATGGGGCGGATTGAGAGAGGCGAGGAGAATTGAGTAAGCACGCGACCCCAGGGAGAGATGGTGGATGAAAGGAGGAGGAAAAGAGGAGAACGACGAGAAGGGACCACAGAACGAGGTCTGGAGGAGAGAGGAGAGAGAACCATGAGGGGGAGACAGAGGAGGGCGAGAGTGGCGGATGTAAGGGAAATGAGACCGAGATGAGAGGAGAGAAGAAGAAGACCAGAGAGTGAAGAGTACCTCCGGCCGGAGTGAGACAGGAGACGCCAGCGACGAGACGAGGAGAGGGACCCCGAGGGATGATTTGCAGACACGGACCCAGAGAGTGACCCAAGTGACAGGGCCCGAGAGACCAGAGGACCCAGCGACAACCAGAGAACACTTGTTTAGAGTAGGATGATGCAGAGGAGGAGAGGGAACGAGAAGATGAGGAAATGCGCGGGATTGAGAGGGAGTGATCGAGGGAGGGAGGGAGTTGATGTGAAAGCGTGATGAGCGACCAGGAGAGGACAGGCACATGCGCCGAGGTTCGGACGTGAGAGGACCAGAGAACGATGGATGACCAGAGCGAGAGGGGGTTACCAGGCTCGCTGAGAGGGAAGGGAAGGAGGACGGGGAGAGAGTAGAGGATGGCGTGGAGAGAGGAGGGGGAGAGAGAGGAGGACGTGGGAGACGAGCGGAGCCGGGTGAGATGACTTTTGAGGAGGAGAGGAGAGCACCAGAGGAGAGGGGGGAGAGATAGGAGGAGGAGAGGAGAGGGAGCGAGAGAGAGGAGAGAGTAGGAGGACGGGCGAGAGAGGAGAGTAGAGGAGGAGAGGACCGCGGAGGAGGCGGAGTGGGGGAGGAGAGAGGAGAGGGAGGTGAGAGAGCGAGAGAGGGAGTGAGTGGAGAGATGAGAGGAGAGAGAGGAGAGAGAGAGAGGAGAGAGAGGGGAGAGAGGAGAGAGGAGAGAGGAGAGAGGTGGGAAGAGAGGTGAGAGAAGGAGAGAGAGGGAGGAGAAGAGGGAGAGAGGAGCAGAGGAGAGAGGAGAGGAGAGGGAGAGAGGAGGGAGAGGAGAGAGGGAGGAGGGGAGAGGGAGGAGAGAGGACAGGGGAGAGGAGGGAGGAGAGAGGAGGGAGAGAGGAGGAGGAGAGAGAAGAGGGAGAGGAGAGAGGAGAGGAGGAAGTGTGAGAGGAGGAGGGAGGGAGAGGAGAGAGAGGAGAGGGAGAGAGGAGAGAGGAGGGGGAGAGAGGAGAGAGGAGGGAGGAGGAGAGGAGGAGGAGAGGGAGAGGAGGAGAGGGAGAGAGGAGAGGAGAGAGGGAGGAGGAGAGAGGGAGGGAGAGAGGAGAGAGGAGAGAGGAGGAGAGAGGAGAGGGAGAGAGGAGAGGAGGAGGAGAGAGGAGAGGAGAGAGAGGAGAGAGGAGAGAGAGAGGAGGCGAGAGAGGGAGAAGAGGATGGAGAGAGAGGAGAGAGGAGGGAGGAGAGAGGGAGAGAGGAGAGAGGAGAGAGGAGAGAGGAGAGAGGGAGGAGAGGAGAAGGAGGAGAGAGAGAGGAGAGGAGAGAGAGAGAGGGAGAGAGGAGAGAGAAGAGAGGAGGAGAGAGGAGAGGAGAGAGGAGGAGGAGAGAGGAGAGGAGGAGGAGAAGAGGAGAGGAGGGAGAGAGAGGAGAGAGGAGAGGAGGAGAGAAGAGAGAGGGAGGAGAGGAGAGGAGAGGAGAGAGGGAGAAGGAGAGGAGGGAGAGGAGGGAGGAGGAGAGAGGAGAGGAGAGAGGAGAGGAGAGGAGAGGAGGAGGGAGAGAGGGAGGGAGAGAGGAGAGAGGAGGAGAGAGAGGAGGGAGAGAGAGAGGAGAGGGAGAGAGGGAGAGGATGGAGGACGGGAGCAGAGAGAGAGGAAGAAGGAGAGAAGGAGAGAGAGCGAGGGGAGAGAAGAGAAGGAGAGAGATGAAGAAGAGACGAGAGAGAGGAGAGAGGAGAGAGAGGAGAACAGAGGGAGAGATGAGGAGGGAAGAGGAGAAGAGAGGAGAGAGACGACGTAGATGAGGAGGAGTGGAGAGAGGTGAGGAGAGAGGAGAGGGAGGGGAGAGATGGGGCGATTGATTGAAGAGAGAGGAGGAGAGTGAGAGTCGGTGAGTCGGGAGAGTGCGAGTGTGAGAGGGGGCGAGTGGCGGAGAGGGAGGGAGAAAGAGAAGAGAGAGGAAGAGGGAGGAGAGAGAGATGAGACACGCAGGAGATGCCTGCGCGACGAGTGGTAAGGAGAGGAGAGACGAGGGGTTAGAGGCGGCCGGGGAACTTGTCTGGCGATGGGGACGGAATGAGGGCGAGTTGGTGCAGAGAGACCAGCGGAGATATGAGAAGGAGAGGCGACGAAGACTCTTGTAGGTTGAGCGAAGATGCACAGATTGGCGAGGCGAGGGTGATTGAAGAAAGAGAATGTAGAGTGCACATTAGAGGTTTGAGTATGACGTGGAGAGGAAGGGATATACCCAGAACGGTGATGGGCACGCTGTGAGGGACGTGGCGCGGGGCGAGTGATTCGTGTTGATTGGGAGACCTGGGAGAGAGGGTCCACCAGAGGTCAAGTTAAATGAGGTATTCTGTCCATGATTACCTATAATTCTCATGTCTTTTTTTTCTTTTTCCACCATATGAAAATTATATAAACCAAAACAAAACACAAAAAAACCAGAAACAGAAACAGAGCTGAAAAGAACCCCGGGAAAAAAAACCAGAGCTGTGTCATAGTCCAAAAGAAAGTTTTACCAGAGCGACAAAAAGCTCAACAGGAAAACAACAGGCTGCCAGCTATGGAGAGGAGAGTGAAAGACAGAAAAAAGTCCATCCCAAAGGACCCAAAAGCCAAAAGCCTCTGACCAGGCCTCCCTCTCTAACTCCTCCTCTCCTTCCTATAAAAGCAGGGTGTAGGGGGTCTACAGCTAGGACATGGAACCGTGGCCTAGGAACTCTAAGCAGAGAGGTTAAAGCACGGTCGTAGCGAAGGAGGACCTGAACCAGCTAGGGATCTACTCCCCTAAGGACCTCCCTCTCCTCTCTCTAAAGCACTGGATGGCGGAGTAGCAGAGGCATGTAGAGGAGTGGGACGGTGGTCTACAGCAGCGAACCTAAAGAGGACTGAACCCAAGGAATACTTCCTCTTCCCCTTCTCTCCTTAACTCAGCGGAGTGTCCTACCGCCCGGACTCTCTCCCGAACCCAGACTACAGCAGAGAGTTAGAGGATCAGGTCTACAAGCAAAGGGGCAGGATATTAGGGAGTTTGAACCCAGAATAAGAGGGTCTAAAGCAGGACTCGACTCCTGCTGTCCGTTCTGACTTTTCTGCTGATTGAACCAGGAGGACTAACTCAGGTGTCTACAGCCAGGATCTGAAACCAGGACTACAGCAGGGGCGCAGAGGGGAAGGAGGGTCCTACAGCAGGATTTTGCAGGAGTTTTTTTTGTTTGAATTGTTTGTGACCCAGAACTCTCTTACAAAAGCAGAGGGAGGCGTCTGTTACCAGCAGGACGGAACCAGGGACCCAAGCAGAGGGTCTCCAGCCGAGAGATAGAAGGAGGGGACCTCTGCCCTGAACCGGACAACGCAGAGTGGGGGAGGGGGGAGGGGTCTACAGCAGGACCTCTGAACCACAGGACCAACGAGGCAGGGAGGAGGGTTACAGCAGGATGACCTGTCCTGAACCTCGGACTTAATGCAGGGTCTACAGCAGGGACTTTGCTGAACCAGGGACTAAAAGCAGAGAGGTTACAGCAGGACTGCAACCGGACCCCCCAAAATCAGATCTAATGCATAGGGGACCTGCGCTGAAAACCAGGACTCCTAACACACGTCTACATGCTGGGCGGGGGACCCTGAACAAGACTCCCTAAAAGACCTCTAAAGCAAAGGTTACAGCGGTGGGACCTGAACCAGAGGATGGAAGGCAGCGGTGGGTCCACAGCAGCAGAGAATAACGAAGAGATATATGTATGAATAAGTATTTTAAGATAAACCTAATTATTTAAACTCAATATTGAAAAAAAAAAAAATGACGAATAATTACGAATAAATAAAGAATTCCGAGTCTTTTAAACGTTAACTTTAGAGTCCTTCTCGCTCTGGGGACATTCACCAGTCTGCAGCCGCTCCGAACATCATTTCAATAAATTTACACCAAGATCCTGCGAGAGCTTTGCCATTGGCCATTGGCGAAGCCGCTTTTTCAAAATACTTAATCTCCCAAAAAAGGAAGAAAAAGACAGAAGCAGAATCAGACGCCTGGCCATTCAATTAAAACGGGACAATTTCCTGGAGGCCTTCTTTTTGAGCTTATTTTGCGTTCTCTTAAGAAGCGTCGTGCGCTTGGCCCCCTCCTGACGCCACTCTGTAAAGCACCAGTGTCCAATATTCCAGGGTTTTAGGCCGGTTATAGCCCGTACAAACTTATCGTTACCTTTATAATAAATCTTATCCGTATACTCCTGTGTCATTGGCCGGTGTGGTCTTTATTTTACGTTTCTTGCCCCACTCTGCATTTGATACGACGTGAATGTAGAGATTCATATAGTTAGTGACCGTCAGGGGATGGGACAGGACAACAATCAGGCCGACTTCCTTGCCTTCACAACAGACATGTGGATTGGAGAAACCCCACACAGACAAGCCCCCCCCAGGGTCTCCAACGGTCTTTTGTCCCACAGGATTATTATTTTAACTGGACTAGAATTCTAGATAGAAGTAGTAGTATTAGTAGATTGGAGCTGAAGAGGAAAGGACTCCTAGTGCTCGGGGGGGATGGGATTTCTCACCGTACTGCAGACCTATCTCTAACCCAGACCCTTGAACCAGACTCTATAACCAGACTAAATGTACAGTGGGATTGGTACACAGAAATGTCCCCATAGAATTCCAATGTAAACTAAAACAGCTCCGACCTCAGCTCGACAGAGAAAAAGTTCTGGTCTCCTTCTGGTTTGCTCTGGTCTGCTCTGGTCTAATTGGGCTCGTGTTGGAAAGTCCTTGGTAGACCACAGCAAGACTCAGACACACACACAGAGACAGAGAGAGAGAGCCGCCGAGGAGAGAGGGAGAGAGAGAGGAGCGAGACAGATGAGCGTGGACGAGAGAGGAGATGAGGAGGGACGGAGATGGACGAGAGGAGAAGAAGTCAGAGAGAGAAGAGAGCGAGCCCGAGTGAGAGTGTGAGAGGAGACAGAGGAGAGTGGTGAGGAGGACCAGAGAGCGAGCAGGAGGAGAGAGAGGACAGACGAGAGTGAGAGAGAGAGACAGAGAGAGCCGAGGGAGAGGGGGAGGTGAGGAGAGGATTGAGAGGAGTGAGGACAGATGAGGTCAGAACAGAGAGGATTGAGTGAGAAGAGAGCGAGTGAGATGTTGGAGGAAGACAAGCGGAGAGTGGGGAGGAGGACAGAGGCTGAGTGAGAGAGACAGAGGGGAGTGGGATGGAGATAGGGGAGGAGAAGACCTTCGGGAGAGAGAGACAGAGGAGTGAGAGAGGACAGAGAGAGAGAGGAGAGATGAGAGAGAGAGAGAGGAGTGAGACGAGAGGACAGAGAGAAGGGAGGAGAGAGTGAGAGAGTGCCAGAGAGAGAGACGAGAGGAGGACAGAGGGAGAGGGGAGAGAGAGACAGAGTGCGAGAGAAGAGAGGAGAGAGAGAGAGAGAGGGAAGAGAGAGAGACAGAGGGAGAGAGGAGAGAGACAGAGCCAGTGGGAGAGAAGAGGGACAGAGGAGAGAGAGAGAGACGCGAAGGCGAGAGAGAGAGAGACAGACAGAGAGATGGAGAAGAGACTGGAGACTGTGACTGTGAGAGAGGAGACTGTGATGGGAGACCTCTGGGAACAGCAGGTGCCACAGTGGGCGGACTGTTTGTTAGGGTTGTTGTTGTTTTAGTAAAGTGCCAAACTGTGGTTGTGTCCTTTAGGCAACACACTTCCCCCACATTAGAATGAGCCTGGAGTGTGTGTGAATGGTTGTTGGTGGTGGGGCAGGGGCCAAAAAAAGGGGGACAATGGCAATAACCCTTGGGAGTGGGGAGGGGCCATGGCCTGTTGCTTCTGTCAGTGTGCTGCAAAACTGTCAGGAAAGATCCACACATCCCCTTCAAATCATCAAAAATTCCCAGTTTATTCACTCAAATCCCCTAAAAAATCCCATTTATTTCCCATTGAAAGTTTCCGTCTTCGAAAAGTGCCAGCAATGTCGAATGCCCCCAGTGATGTGTTTGCGGCTTTTGCTGTGCATCAGATTTATATTTATCACGATGCTTACGTCCTGAGTCAGCTGAATACAGACTGCTCCCTGGTGTGTGTTAAAAAAATGTGGAAGGGCGGACGGAAGTGGCTTTTTCCGTCTGGAGCGTGCACTTAATGGGGCTTTAACACTGTTTATTGAATACATTTAAAGAGAATGTTTCCCACAGGGAGGAGTCGCAGCGTGGCTTCCTTTCTCCGCCGCACAAATGAATTTCACACACCCAAGCACTTTGTCCGATACTTGCGCAATTAAATCATCACTGACTCTGTGGTGTCTGTGTCTGCAGCGGGCGTCGTGTTGTTTACAAAACGCTTTTTCCTTTCCAATAAATCAATGAGAGACTTTTACAGGCGCTTTGCTAACGTGGCTTCTGTCTGCTCTGGTTGCTTGTCCTCTGGTCTGCTCGGGTCTATTCAGGTCTGCTCTGGTCTGGTCTACTCTGGTCTAACTAAGATCGACTTTGCTCTGGTCTGGAAATTCCTTGGTAAACCATGGCTTTCAGAGTTGCGTTAGACACAGACTCAGACAAAACACACAGAGAGAGAGAGAGAGAGAGCCAGAGAGAGAGAAAGAGAGAGAGATAGACAGAGAGACACAGACAACAGTTATCCCCCCCCTAACACTGCAGCCGATACAGATCAAAATGAAACCCTAATTCATTGACAAATTTAAATAATCGTTTCTGATTTGATTAAACTCTTGCTTGTCCTATGTAAGCATTCTCTCTCTCTCTCTCTCATCTCTCTCCTCTCTCTCTCTCTCTCTCTCTCTCTCTCTCTCCTCTCTCTCTCTCTCTCTCTCTCTCTCTCTCTCTCTTCTCTTCTCTCTCTCTCTCTCTCTCTCTCTCTCTCTCTCTCTCTCTCTCTCTCTCTCTCTCTCTCTCTCTCTCTCTCTCATTCTCTCTCTCATCTCTCTCTCTCTCTGTCTCTCTCTCTCTCTCATCTCTCTCTCTCTCCTCCTCTCTCTCTCATCTCTCTCATCTCTCTCTCGCCGCTCAGGTCCTCTGGAAGTCCGAGGGTCTATGAGAGAGTTTGGGAGACAGTGTGGAGCAGAACCGGCCACAGGCTGCTGCTCCGCTCACGCCGACATCATTGATTTCCCACAACAGCAAACGTGTGATGTCGTTAGCGGCGGCGGAAGCATCAGAATGCGCACTCGGCGTTCTGGAAGCGATAAGCCACGGCAAAAACTGTGAAATCCCAGCGCCTCGTGCCGGGATTAGCCTTTTCCTCCTGCAAAACAGGCGTTAGGAGGAGAATGATGCTGCTCCGTCGCATCAACACAAACATTAGACTGTTTTTATGACGTAAATCTGGTCTTCCCCTCGGTCTCGGTGTTTGCTGCTGTGCCGGAGGAGGAGGAGGAGGCGGACCCCCCACGGTCGTTTCAACTATTTTAGATAAATCCCATTCAATCTGAAAGACTCCAGACAAAGATCGCATTAGGATTATATTTATTGCCATGATCGCATGAATGGATGATTAAAGCAGATGCATTGTTGTCTAATCGGGTCTACTCGGGTCTAGTCTCTGATTATGACCATGTGAACCTCAGGGCTCAGACCCTGATGGGAGAGAAGCTGAGCCCGAAGACATGACCCCCCCCACAGAAGAGGCAGTGATGGGGAGGAGGTGGGTTGCTGCTCGAACAGCTGAGAGGCTGCAGTGTCGTGAGCAACAGGTCTGAGGCAGACTGTACATCCATCCATCCATTTTCTTCCCCTTAATCCATTTTCTGGGTCGGGGGGTGGCAGTCAGAGCACACAGCCCCCTCACTGATCCTCCTGCAGGTGGTGAGTCCACAAGAGCCGAGATCTTTCAGCGGGGGCTTCGGGCAAAGTGGGGTTAAGTATCTTGCCCACAAGGACACAACGACAGCAGACATCAATGGGAGTCGTGAAGTAGGTCTTTTCGTGGGCTTGAACCACGACCCTTCAGGCCCAGCTCTACCATCTAAGCCACTGTAGTAATAAAAATACTACATCATACTCACCAGATGCCGTCATTCTTCCCTTCACACACAGGAGAAACATACTGTAAATGATAATGTGATTAAAGGAGAAGAAAAGAAGAGACTCATTCAGCAAATAAAGAATAAGGATAATCTGTGAGCAGAGAGAGAGCTCAGAGTAGGAGGAGGAGGAAGAGGAGAGAGGAGGAATGAGGAGAGAGAAGAGAAAGAGGAAGAGGAGAGAGGAGGAGGTGTTTCTATCTTCTGTCAAACAAACACATGTTCATGAGTCTCACATGAGATGAGTCAGGTCTGATACTTTTAGCTTTGCTCCCAGTGCAGCCGAGTTCAACCTTTCTGTTAAAATAGTGCTGTGTCATCCGCTGTGTGGGCCTGATGAAAAGAGGGCTACATGGTCCCGGGGCACCAGCAGTGAGGAGGCCACCTGGTCCCCGGAGCACCAGCAGAGAGGAGCATAGAGCATTACAAACTACAACCAGCAAAATCAGCTCAAACTTTTGACGTCACCGACACCGACCTACAACACCCGCCTCCCCCGCTCTCTGATTGGTCGGAGAGGATTCAACCGAGGAAACTGCAAAAACAGGGACCCAGACGCATGGATCTATAATAAGAACTGGAAAGAAGTATTACTAGCTTACAGCTGTCCCACCCATGGGCACAGGGGGCGCTGTGGTACTGCAAAACTAAATTCACGAGGGCTACTTTACTGCCACAAAACTCTGCTCCTTTCCTTACCCGCTCTGACTCCGCTCTGCCACAGCTCTGATCCGCTCTGATTGGTCAGAGCGTGGAACGAGCCCCTCTGTGCACGTGCATGAAAGCCTCACACGTGTATTTGGCGCAAAGCATCCTGGGAGCTCGTCCACTGCGCAGAACCGGGAGGACCAGACGATGCCCAAATATAGGCGAGTTCTGCTAATCTCCCGGTCTCCATGAAGTCCCATGAACTACTGAGTACCAGCCATTCATTTGAACAGGACGCCATCTTGGATCACCGGGGCTTGACCAGACGGTACATTCAGAGAAATGATAATGGACCAGAGTTTACGGATAGATAAGACCAGACTAGTCCTGCAGTGAAGCGGCTGATGACAGACCGCACACAAACATGAAACGGTAATAACACACAATAATAACACACAATAATAACACACCATAATAACACACAATAACAACACACAATAACAACACACAGGACCATCTCAGATTCAGATTCTGTCTCCTCTCTCAGGATTTAGCTACAACTGAAGCTAAGCCAAAAACTTCATCATTTCACCTTCAGGCCAAAAGACTTCTGGATCAAAACCATTTTCTCTTTTATAGAAAATGTTTGGATTCTCAAAAGAAATCCGGCCACATGGTTCAGAGATGATCAAACTGCAAAGTCAGAATGTGTGCTGTAGATCCACACGAGTCACGTCACACTGCTGCAGATGTACAGGTGTAAACACACAGCATATACAGGATTTATACTTCCATTATTATTATGGTAAAGTTAGATATATAGTGTATTGCTGAAAATATGTGAAAATATGTGTGTTTTTAGTGTTTTAAAACTTTTCTTTTGTGTTTCTTTGCGATGGATCCTGTGCTTGCACGTGAGTCCTTAATAACGTCTAAATAAAAATAGAATAAATACAATAATATAGAGTTGTGTGCTCCTCAGTCCTACCGTTCTGTACCTGCTGTTGCAACACTGACATTTCCTCACTGTGGGACTAATACAGCATCGCTTCATCTTGATCTTCCAATCCACTTTATTCACGGTGTATAGCACATTTCATAAAACAAAAAAGTGCTGCACTGATAAAAGTAACAGATTCATAATATACATTCTGCCAGCTTTAAATAAAAAAACAATTACAATACAGCAATTAACTATATACATAAAAAAAAAAAAAAATCTTAATCTTAAAGGTGCTATGTGTACTTTTTACAGCTTCTTCAAATGAAAAAACATGTGAACCAAAAACAAATGTGACCCTTTAGAATTGTTTTCATCAGCTTAGAATGTGACTTATAAATGTCCATGAGGCTGAGGACTCTCCGTGTCAATCCGCCATCTTGGAATGTAGTGGTTGATAAGGGACAAAAAGGAGTTAGAGTGGGAGTTGGGGACCACTGTCAAAGACCTCAGAATGTCCTGCAAAGCCTCCGTAGCACCGACAATTACAAAATATGATCTCAAAGCCAGATATTAGTAAAAACTACACATGTACCTTTAAACATCACAGTAAAATGTGTCTCTCAAACCCTTCGATGCAGAAACACCTTCGTCGGCTCTGCGCTTGGCTCGGCGTGCCCACACTGACCGGGTCCGCCAAGGCCTCACCTCTGTTGCTATGGAGACGGCACAGAGGAGCAGCGGCAGCAGCAAAAGTGACAAACAGGAGCTGCTCAGGCGTGTGCGGCGCTGATGTGTTCGAGCAGAAATATTATGCATTGTTTGTGTTTCAGGCCGTTTTCTCTCCCGGCTAAATCAGACCGGGCCAAACCCAGGCCCGGGAGCCAACTGCGGCCTCAGTCCTGGATCTACAGCCTCAGTCCTGGATCTACAGCCTCAGTCCAGGATCTACAGACTCAGTCCTGGATCTACAGCCTCAGTCCAGGATCTACAGCCTCAGTCCAGGTTCTACAGTCTCAGTCCTAGATCTACAGCCTCAGTCCTGGATCTACAGTCTCAGTCCTGGATCTACAGCCTCAGTCCTGGGTCTACAGCCTCAGTCCTGGATCTACAGTCTCAGTCCTGGGTCTACAGCCTCAGTCCTGGATCTACAGTCTCTCTCAAGGCCTATATAAGCACCATCGTTCTCTGTGATAATCAGACATTTACAGACTTCTGGGACCAGACTTCTGCAGGAGGTTCCTTAGACCTGACAGACCTTACTCAAACCTTTCTGCCAATAAAATCTCATAGAAAAACGCAACCTGTGTCTCATTGACTCATGTCTGGGGAAACAAACACAGAATCTCCCTAAAGGATTCAGACGCTGCTCTCATCCCATATCTGTATCTAATGTTCCAAAGAAAAAGCTTTACATGATATTATTATGTTACATGATGTGAAAAGGAGCCATCCGAGGCTTACATTCACCAGGGCGGTTTAGAAAATGTTCCAGTGGACTTTAGTGTTAAATAAACCAACCATGTGACCGTGTTCATAATGAAACTATAGAAATGAGCCACATTCCAAGATTATCAGTAGTTTTTATCACAGTCCACACTACACAGGCACAAATCATCACCATTAAAAATACATTTAAACAATTAAATATAATAAACATTAAACACAATAAATAATAAACATTAAAACAGGGGTGTCAAACGTATTTTGGTTGAGGGCCGATTAAAGAAAGAAAGCGCTGGTCAGGGGCCGAAAAATAAGTGGGTTTCATTTATTACATGTTTTTGGAATATGAAGGTATCTAAATAAAGGACTTGTTTTACATTAGTTGGATTGGATATTCTTTTCTGATTAAAATTAGTCCAGTTACTGTGGACTGAACCAAAACTGGACCAAAACTGAACCAAAACTGGACCAAATATAGAAGGTATTTAGGAGGATTTTCTACTCATCAAGACGATTGGTCCTCCCAGTTGTCAATCATTCTCGTGATATGTGCTCATCAAATAAGATCTTATGGGATTCAATGTTGTGGTTGTTTTCTCAGTAAAGGAAAACATTACCATTCATGCTGCTATTTAATATAATCATTTAAAATCATCTCAAGGGCCACTGGAAATGGTCTCGCGGTCCAGATCTGGTCCCGGGCCCTGACTTTGACACCTGTGCATTTAAACATTAGAATCACACAAGTAATTAAAACCAGTAAAATCACACAAAGGATTACAACAATTAATAACATGGTGCGTTAGAAAGACCTAGTTCTTTCACAGTCGTCAGTACCTCTGCCTTCTGTGGTAGTTCTTCCACAGTCGTCAGTATCTCTGCCTTCTGTGGTAGTTCTTCCACAGTCGTCAGTACCTCTGCCTTCTGTGGTAGTTCTTCCACAGTCGTCAGTACCTCTGCCTTCTGTGGTAGTTCTTCCACAGTCGTCAGTACCTCTGCCTTCTGTGGTAGTTCTTCCACAGTCGTCAGTACCTCTGCCTTCTGTGGTAGTTCCTTCACAGTCGTCAGTATCTCTGCCTTCTGTGGTAGTTCTTCCACAGTCGTCAGTATCTCTGCCTTCTGTGGTAGTTCTTCCACAGTCGTCAGTACCTCTGCCTTCTGTGGTAGTTCTTCCACAGTCGTCAGTACCTCTGCCTTCTGTGGTAGTTCTTCCACAGTCGTCAGTACCTCTGCCTTCTGTGGTAGTTCCTTCACAGTCGTCAGTACCTCTGCCTTCTGTGGTAGTTCTTTCACAGTCGTCAGTACCTCTGCCTTCTGTGGTAGTTCCTTCACAGTCGTCAGTACCTCTGCCTTCTGTGGTAGTTCTTTCACAGTCGTCAGTACCTCTGCCTTCTGTGGTAGTTCTTTCACAGTCGTCAGTACCTCTGCCTTCTGTGGTAGTTCTTCCACAGTCGTCAGTACCTCTGCCTTCTGTGGTAGTTCTTTCACAGTCGTCAGTACCTCTGCCTTCTGTGGTAGTTCTTCCACAGTCGTCAGTACCTCTGCCTTCTGTGGTAGTTCTTTCACAGTCGTCAGTACCTCTGCCTTCTGTGGTAGTTCTTCCACAGTCGTCCGTACCTCTGCCTTCTGTGTTAGTTCTTTCACAGTCGTCAGTACCTCTGCCTTCTGTGGTAGTTCCTTCACAGTCGTCAGTACCTCTGCCTTCTGTGTAAGTTCTTTCACAGTCGTCAGTACCTCTGCCTTCTGTGGTAGTTCTTTCACAGCCGTCAGTACCTCTGCCTTCTGTGGTAGTTCTTTCACAGTCGTCAGTACCTCTGCCTTCTGTGGTAGTTCTTCCACAGTCGTCAGTACCTCTGCCTTCTGTGGTAGTTCTTTCACAGTCGTCAGTACCTCTGCCTTCTATGGTAGTTCTTCCACAGTCGTCAGTACCTTTTCATTCTGTGGTAGTTCTTCCAGTCGTCAGTACCTCTGCCTTCTGTGGTAGTTCTTCCACAGTCGTCAGTACCTCTGCCTTCTGTGGTAGTTCCTTCACAGTCGTCAGTACCTCTGCCTTCTGTGTTAGTTCTTTCACAGTCGTCAGTACCTCTGCCTTCTGTGGTAGTTCTTTCACAGTCGTCAGTACCTCTGCCTTCTGTGGTAGTTCTTTCACAGTTGTCAGTACCTCTGCCTTCTGTGGTAGTTCTTTCACAGTCGTCAGTACCTCTGCCTTCTGTGGTAGTTCTTTCACAGTCGTCAGTACCTCTGCCTTCTGTGGTAGTTCTTCCACAGTCGTCAGTACCTCTGCCTTCTGTGGTAGTTCTTTCACAGTCGTCAGTACCTCTGCCTTCTGTGGTAGTTCCTTCACAGTCGTCAGTACCTCGGCCTTCTGTGGTAGTTCTTCCACAGTCGTCAGTACCTCGGCCTTCTGTGGTAGTTCCTTCACAGTCGTCAGTACCTCTGCCTTCTGTGGTAGTTCTTCCACAGTCGTCAGTACCTCTGCCTTCTGTGTTTACATGAGTCGCTCTCTGACTGAGAAAGGTTGGCGACCCCAGGAGTAAACGCAGATCTGACTTATTCATGTCACAACGACACACTTACAAGTGCGTGCGGCTGCGTCTGCTGCTGCTCCGTGTTCAGAGCAACACGCCACATGATCCTCCAGCCAACTCTCACTCAGGAGCCTCTACCATCCACTGCTCACACTAGAATAAAATAAAATAAATAAAAAAATCTGGTTCTGAACATTTGGGTGACCTTGGTCTGTAAAATGCGCTATATATTAATAAACATTACTTAATGATAAAAAGAATAATAATAATGCATCGGTTTTATATAGCGCTTTTTTGGACACTCAAAAACGCTTCACATGTCATTACTCACTCCAAACACTGTAGTGATAAACTACTACTGTAGCCACAGCTGCCCTGGGACACACTGACAGAAGCGAGGCAACCAGTCTGTGCCATCGGCCCCTCCCACCACCACCAACCATTCACACACACACCAGACTCATTCTAGTACGTACTTAATTACTAAACGATCCGTATATTTCAACATGTGCACCATTGTTAATTACTTAATTAGAATCTTATTGAATGATGTATGTGTGTGTTTGTGTGTTTTTATGGATGTGTTACCTGCTTTTGTCCTACAGGGGATCAATAAAGAATTTATTTACAAATCTACATCTGTCCACAAACCTGCATTATTCCTTCATTATGGTAGGAAGGCATAATACAACAGTACATATTACTATAAACTGGACATACATAATTCCTGGACTGCCACGCCTTCCTGTCTGTCTGGCCACATACTTTCATCTCCATCACGGCCGATGTTTTCCCTTGAAAGCAACACATTTTGAAAACTAGTTCAACACTTTTTCATGTAACGACTAAAGCAACAAAATGAGGACTGTTTGTTTTATAGGGCAGCGTTTTTCAACCAGTGGGGCGTGGCAACTTAGTGTGCCGTCAGATCAGTGACGTGTAGTCAGGGGAGGCCATCATAGGAAACAAATAATTATCTTAGTTGTAATATGTAATTGTTTTCCACTGTCCTATGATTTTAATGCATATTTGGTACTGTTCCGACCAGTTTTGATCAGTTCTGTTGTCAAAATCGTTTAAATCCTATTTTTCCTATTCAAAGACCGAAGGTGAGGCAGCGCTCATACGTGCCTCTCCCCAGACCGCTCGCTCGCTCACTGTGGACTGTGTGAGTGCACTCAGCTCGTGCTGTTGATACACAAGGGAAAAGCTTGGCGTGAGGCAGGCAGTGTCTGTGCCTCACCGCTAGGGGCGATAATGAGCATAAAGTTCATATCCGAGTTGCTAACAAACAATCAGCTCAATATTTCTTTTGCTGGAAAATGGATGATTTGATTGAAGATGTTTTTCTCAACTGGACTTTCAATCAAAGCAAGAAATAATATAAACTGAGAGACCACCGCTGGATTTACAAGGTTAGTCCGGCCGCGGGGGAGGAGTTTCAGTCTCTGTGTTTAATGTTGAAAATTGACTAGATAGCTGCATAATAGTGCTTCTCCGAAAAACACTGATTCAACCACTGCTCAACAGTTCTGCAACTCTTTCTCTGTCTCTCTCTCTCCTCGCGTCTGATGCGGAGCAGAGAGTCAGCAGCTAGATTTGTTGTGAGATTATTAAAAGAAGATAGTTCTCTTATCTTTACAGTATAGGAAGTTTGTGGATGTTATTGCATTGGTGATTAAATGCTATTTTATTTAAATAATGATGGTAAATCTGACCTATAAAGTCAGTGCCTCCCCTATCACAAACCTCACTGCACGTTACTGCGTCAGATGTTGGTTGGTTGTGCCTTTGGAAATTAAGCAATGTCACTTTATTGGTGAAAATATGGGAAAGGGAAGTACGATATAATTTACAGGTGAGAACCGGTCTGTCTGGATCTTAACCATTGTTTTAGCTCTCTGCTGAAGATGGTCATGTCAATAATTGTGAGAACTTTAATCTGAGAAAAACACCAAAGCCACTGAGAAAAACTGTACCAACATTAATGGATATCGGTCTCTGCCCTTACCAAGATGGCCGACATTAAGACCGTGAACTGCTTTAAACGTTTAGATACGAATGAATTAAGACACAAATGTACTTTTTAATGCGATTTGAGGCGAGATGATGATGGTTCCATGTTGTATGTGGGGTTTAAGAGTATAGTCTGACTGGTCTGGTCTGTCGGGTCTGTCAGGTCTGTCAGGTCTGTTGGGTCTGTCGGGTTCATAATAGAAATAACAAACATAATCTAACTAAGTCGTAAGCTAACGCCGCGTCATCGTTCCACGTCAGTAAAATGGCGTCCGCGGCAGTTGGACAGGAAAGGGACCGCCCGGACTCAGCCAATCAGCTCAAAGCAGGAGACACAGAGGATCATGGGCGGCTGAGGAGGTCTCACTCTGCTGTTGCTGTGTGTTTGGAAACAGCTGGTACCCAAACCCGTGACTAATAAATGAGAAGCGGGGTCTGCAATTTGCTTCTGCTTCTTCCTTTGATCTGTTGTTTATGTCAAGACTTGACTCGCGTCGTCCGAGGACTCGCTTAAAAAAAATGAATGAATAAAAACACTTCATTAATAATTAATGATATTGTTAATATTTAATGATATTGATCTTTGTGGAAACACTGATCATCTTTATGTTTTCTCACAATAAATATAGAAACAGATAAATATCAATATGCAACACTTTATAAGTCCAAATTTTTCAAATTGAACATTTTAAAATTATCACTTCTGAGACAGTCCTGTGAAATCACAATATCCCATTTTAACTAGCTAGCCACTCACATTTTTTAACAAATGAAATACTTTGCACCATGTTTGTACAATTAATAACTCATGTAAAATACAAAAGTCAACTCTCACATTTGTAAATAAATCATGTCACACGTGATGTTGATCTCAGGAGTTTAGAAACCAAAGCGGTCCCATTTACGCTGCTCCTTTCTCCTCTTCAGAACAAAAACATGAGAAAGCTGTTTGAGTGTGTTTCAGTGTGTATGTGTGTGTGTAGTATGTGTGTGTAGTATGTATGTGTCTAGTATGTATGTGTGTGTGTAATATGTGTGTGCAGTATGTATGTGTGTGTGTAGTATGTATGTGTGTAGTATGTATGTGTGTGTGTAATATGTGTGTGTAGTATGTATGTGTGTGTGTAATATGTGTGTGTAGTATGTATGTGTGTAGTATGTATGTGTGTGTGTAGTATGTATGTGTGTAGTATGTATGTGTACGTGTAGTATGTGTGTGTCCGTGTATACATGTGTGTGTGTGTGTAGTCTATGTGTGTGTCCATGTAGTATGTGTGTGTCTGTAGTATGTGTGTGTGTCCATGTATATGTGTCTGTCTGTGTGTGTGTCTGTATGTGTGTGTGTAGTATGTGTGTCTGTCTGTATGTGTGTGTATGTGTGTGTGTGTGTGTATGTGTGTGTGTCTGTATGTGTGTGTATGTGTGTGTGTGCAGATCCTAATGTGACGGTGGATCAGTGACTGCGCTGACGGCTCTGTCTCTAAACTGTTTCCTGGAAGCCTGTGTGTGATCGTCGTGACAACGGCATCAGCTCAGACTCACACTGACACCGGATCAGGAAGTGTTTAAAGATCATTTCAAAAACACCCACATTTCAGAAAAGAGAATGTGCCGTTTCCGGGCCTTTCCGTCCCGTTGATCTGGCTCATTATGCACCGCTCTGGGAAAGGGCGGACGTTTGGAGCAGTTTGAAGTTCAACAACTGCTTCCACGGTTTCCTGAGATCTAACACGAGTTTCAGCTCTTTGTCATCACGGCAAAGGCAGGTTTATTTGTATGGCACAGTTCACACACAAGGCAACTCAAAAGGCAAGATACAAAGGCATAACAATCATAAATCCTCACAGTACGTTCAAAAGAGTAGATAAGAAAGAAAAGATACAATTCGTAGCCTGGATTGGAACGTTTGTCAGAGAAGAAGCCTGTCTCACATTTTCAGGAAGACTGTTCCAGATTTCAGCAGCACAAATCTGAAATGCTGCCTCCCCTTGTTTACTCCTGACTCTGGGACCAGCAGGAGACCAGTCCCTGTGCTACTCAGAGTCCCATCACCTCCAACCATTCACACACACATCAGACTCCATCTAATGTGGGTGAAGTGTCTTGCCTAAGGACACAACAAGAGTTTACGGCACTTTACAGCCGCAGCTGCCCCACTGTGTCTCCCATCACAGCACTAACAGACCCTGGCCTGCTTAGCTTCGGAGGTCTATCAGGATCTGGCTTCCACATGCAGGTTTGGTTCTGCTCTCCATATCGTGACAACATGACAACGTGGGCCTACGGTGACAATGATCGCCGGGTCTAAACAATGTTCTCACCTTTCGCGGTGAGCTCATGAGCTAACAGTCGGTGGAAGCCACAGCCGCCCCGGAGGCAGATCCTTCTCCCGCCTTTGAAGTGCTCTGGTGTCTGTGCGCTGCCTCGGGACGCGCCCTTTCACTCGGGACAAAGGGGGAGCTCTCCTGAGTGCACCACGCCCCCGTAGCGCCCGGAGGATGTCACCCCAGAACCCTGAGCTCACGCTGGGATCGCTCTGAAGTCTGCGCCGCGCTGGAGGCTAACGGCTTCTCCACAAAACACCGCAGGATTTAAAACTTCAGACGGAGACACATCCTTTAAAGTCACACAAAATGTTCTGAGTCTGCAAAGAGTCGGAAATGACCAGAAACCAATAAATCTGACTTTAGTTTGGGTTTGGGTCAAAACAAATATCTGATTGAGTGTAAAAATGCTCGTTCTGCTTGATCACCTGAGATGTTTGGATCGAGAAATGTGAGGATTTTAGGCAGAACTAGATTCTTTGACCTTTTCAACATAAAAGAAGACATTATGAACTTTGAATATTTCATCTGTTGGTTGTAGGTCTGAGCTGCAGCCGTCGAAACAGGGACAAAAAATGGTAAAATACCGCAGCGGAGGGTGCTGTGGTCTGGTCTGGTATGGTCCCTTGGGGAGGTCTGGTCTGGTCTGGTTTGGTCTGGCCTGGGGAGGTCCCTTGGGGTAGATCTGGTCTAGTCTGATCTGGGGTGTTCAGGTCAGGTTGTGTGGTAAAGTTTAAGTCATGTTATTGATAAGTCAGTATGT